CACACACACACACACACACACACACACACACACACACACACACACACGGACAGGGACAGGGACATGACACTGTTGACATTTTTGGTATTCAGGAATGTAATGACATTTCTTTGTGTATATATTTAAAAATAATTTTTATTCTTTATTCTATTTTAGGGATATTTCTGGGACCAAATGTGACTTCACAGTGCAGGTCCAATTAAGGTACAGTGTTGACTATAATATATACTCAAATTTTAAAATATGATGTTCCTTAGAAATTAACTTTTAGAAAATCCCCTCAATGTTCAAGAAATGAATTGAAGACATTGGGTGAGCTACTTAGGAAGAGAAAGCATCCTGAGAGGCTCTGCTTGTTGCGCCATTTGGGTCTTCTCCATAGTGCCTGTCTTCTGGTGACTGGGAAGCTGCAACTGATGGTGTCTTTAACGACACTTGCCAAGTATTAACTTTTGGGTGGTGTGGTGGCATGAGCTTTAACCCAGCACTTAGGAGGAGGCTCAGGAGGATCTCTGGTAGTTAGCTTTGCAGTCTGCAGTTTCATGCACGCAGTCGCCAGATATTCTAACCCCCCCCCCATCCTTTTTCATTTGTAGTTTAATGGGCCCTAATTCAGAACTCACGTGAGACATTTTGTGGATGTTTTCAGAAAATGTGCTGAAGCATGCCAACTTAGGCTTGCAGCCACGCCTTCTCAAGCTTTGTTAAGTTTTATTTATTTTTATTCCAGGTGCATTGGTGTTTTGCCCGAATGTGAGGGTGTCAGAAGGTCCGAAATTGCAGTTATAGACATGTGTGAGCTGCCATGTGGGTGCTGGGAATTGAACCTGGGTCCTCTGCAAGAGAAGCCAGTGCTGTTAGCCGCTAAGCTAGTTCTCTAGCCCCTCTTTTTTTTTTTTCCTTATATAATCCATTTCGTTGCTTTTCTAACTCAGTGAGTATCCATGTCCCTATGGAATAAGAGATAAAAGGAAACAAAACAGTTGATTTCCTCTGTGAGCTGTTTTCCCTGTAAACCTGGTAACAACAGTCACATACAAATTAAAAGTGCACCAGTTTTAATTTGCACCAGTGGCCCTGAGAAGAGCACAGTCTACACCCCAGCCCAACTTCACGGAGCCACGCACACACCTCTCACCTCACCTCTGTAATAGTGAGACTTGGTTCTAAAAGACACTGGCAAAGGTATGCTTGCACAGGACTGGTACTTCATCCTCTGTCAGGAGCAGGCTGTGAGAATGACTGAACAAATTAAAGGACAAAAGGCAGTGCCCTCATAATTAATTACATGAGGCTGTAATGTTCTGTACTTCTTATGTCTGCATATTTTTTCACCTTTTTTTGTCTTTTCTGTTTGCTTGCTACGTGTGCATGTGGGGTTTAGAGGACAACTTGAGGCAGTCACATCTTGTCTTCTAATATATAGGTTCCGGGAATAGAACTTGGATTTCCAGGTTTGACTGCAAGCACCTTTACCTGCTTAGCCATCTTTCAGTGCTTCCCCATGGATATTGTTATTGTTTGTTTTTGAGGTAAAGTCTCACACAGTAGCCCAAAATGGCTGGAAACTTACAGCAATCCTCCTGCCTCTGTCTTCCCAGTGCTGGAATTACAAGTGTGAGCTACCACTCCCAGCTATTTATTTTCCACCTGCTTCAAATGTTGCTTTTTGTCATATTTACTTGTGGCTCTACTGGAGCTGCCATTGTCTCCTCCTTCTTCATATCTTCCACCCATTGCACACCCACTGACTGGAAGTCCACTGCCTTCCTCTGTTTTGTGTATGACCTCTAGACTCCAAGACCAAAATAAAGCTTGGAAAGCATCATTCACACTAAGATCTAGTGAGTATGCTCACTATTTTCTATTCATGTGCAACAAATATGACTTAACTTTTGAAGGAAGATTATCTTTCTTAGATACTAGCTATCTTAGGGTCACTATTGCTCTTAGGAAACATCATGACCCAGAACTACTCCGGAAGGAAAGGGTTTATTTGGCCTACCTATCCTGAGTCACAGTCCCTTAAGGGAAACCAAGATGGGAACTCAGGACTGATTGGGAACCTGGAGGCAGGAGTTGGTGCAGAAGCCTTGGAGAAACACTGATCACTGGCTTGCCCCTTATCACTTGCCTGGCTTCCTTTTGTTTTTGTTGCTTTGATTTATTTTTTGAGACAGGGTCTCTTTACATAGCCTTGGCTGTTTTGGAACTTGCTGTGTAGACCAGGCTGGCCTCAGACTCAGAGATCCACCTACCTCTGCCACTTGCTTCAGCGTGCTTTCTTATAGTAGTCAAGATCACCAGCCCAGTAGTTAGTGGCACCACCCACCATGAATTGGATCCAATTAGTCAACCACTAATTAAGAAAATGCCCTGTGGGCTTGCCTACAGCCTGGTCTTGTAGAAGCAACTTATCAGTTCAGGTTCCTTCCTTGTTCAAATCGACATAAGATTAACCAACACAGCAGCTAATTTAGAAATCCCAAGGGAATCTTGATGGTTAAAAATGGTTTAGCTGGGATTGGAGAGATGGCTTGATTAAGAACACTTGCCTTTACAGAGGATCAGAATTTGTTAGCAGCACCCACATCCAGCAGCTCACAGCCCCCTGTAACTCCAGCTCCAGGGGATCTGATGCCTTCTTCTGGCCTCCCCAGTCACCTACACACACGTGTTCTTAGAAACACACAGACACACATACATTTTTTTTTTTAATAGAAGACTATTGTATCCCTACCCTTTTTTTTTTTTTAATTTCCTTTTTTGTTTGTTTTTACTATATAGCCCTGGCTGGCCTTCAATATGCTATATAGACTAGGCTAGTCTCAAATTCACAGAGATCTGGGATCTCACAGAGTGTTAGGATTAAAATTGTAAGACATCACACTCAAACTTTCTTAGCAATTTTAAATTAAAACTTACCTTCAGCTCTTCATGGACAAAAACTACCTAAAACCTTTTGTGTTGTTTTGGCCATTTGTTAAGTCAGTCTTTGTATCTTAATGCAGTAGTCGTTCTCATCCCCTTGTCTTCCCATCTTCCCATTGCTAAGCTACTGTATCAAGTGCTTTTTCATTTCTCACTGTGAATGCTTATCTAAACCCTGAAAGATAGTCTGGTTATTATTAAACATCTGGTCTCTTTTCATTTGTGGGCCCCTTGCTTCTATTCTTGTGAAGCGTCTCACAGAAACGGCCTCCTGTTGGCCCCTTTTTTTTTTTTTTTTTTTTGGAAAGTTAGCATTTCACCCTTTATGTAATTGAATTAGAGTCATTTGGGTAAATTATTCTTTTCCTACAGATTCAGGTATTGTAGTGTCTGTTTGAACTTTTTACTGTGCTGTAATAATTCTGGTGTAATAATACTTGTGGCCTCCTTTTATTGTTGTAAGTCAGATGTAGTGACACACTCCTATCATCCTAGCACTCAGGAGGCAGAGGCAGGAAGATTACTAGCCTGGGTAAGACCTGTCTCAAAAAAAAAAAAAAGCAACAACGATAAAAGAAATAACCTGTAATGGAGATCTCTACTGGGTTTAGAGATAGTCCTGTGAACTCTATGATATCTGTTTACTAGGAATATTTCTAGCAAGTTATTGTAGATCAGTATTTCTTACCCAACTGAGAGTCTATTAGAAACTGTGGCCTAAAAATGAGAGAGAGTGAGCGCTCATGCTCTTTGGCATGGTAAAGTGATTCCTTTACGTGGACCATCCCAGCACTCAGCTTCCAGCCCGCAGACTAAGGCCTCACAGCAGAGAGTAAGAGCAGATGACTGCCTGTGGTGGATCTTCCACAGGGTGAACAAGGAGGGCTCGCCTCCTCTACAGCCCAAAGATGCCAGAGTTCACTGTGAAGATGGAATGAGGTACAGGTGGATATTGGGGACAGAAAATTTAAAAAAGCTACTTCTCTAGCTCAGTAAAAGTCAGGCAATAAATAGGATGAGAAATTATAAAGATTTTCCCAAAAGATTAGAAATAAATGTTTTGTGATTTTTTTTAAAATAGTACTCTGCTTTAGGCAAAAGTAGCACAAATGCTGTGATTGCTCCATCTTTGTTCTCTAGTAGTGAAGGAGCTTCTTGACTCATTGGATGGAACTTGGTCTTGGAGGTGAGATTTTGGCCCCGCAATCTGTTTTCAATATAGTCTACTGAGAACCAGAAAATGTTTCAGAGGCCATCTAAGAACTGCTTACTGTGTGCTTTATCTTCCTCCTGGATTTATAGTGCACATGAGCTTGTTTGAAGCTCTGGGAAAATCTTTAATATAGAAGCTTTAATTGTTTTGATACAGGTTTGTTTGTTTTTTTTTTTTTAAGTTTATTCAACTACAGAACCTTAGAAAGAAAAGAAAAAATAATTGGGACTTCATGAGGCCTCCTCAGTCATAGACAAAGAACTACAAGTAACTAAGGAATACTGAGAAAAAAAAAAAATACTCTTTTTCAGGGAAGAGCACAGCAGTTAGTTACCCATACCAAATGATCAGCATTGAAGACGTATGTATACAAGTAACATCATATGGATTGAGCATGTTGTAGTTATATATTTAGAAATATGCACACTCAACAATTGAAGAGAAGGGAGGGAATCCTAGAAGAGGTTAGAAGGAGGAAAATAGAGACATGGTGTAATTATAATTTCAAAAAATTAAAAGCTGAAAAAATAACCTTTTAACACCTGCTAATAATGTTTGAGAAAGCTGCCTTCTCATAAAATAGTTAAATAAATTCTGAAGTCATCATGAACTCTCCTGTAGGTTGGTAGTTACAACTGCTAATCCAGATGCTTGATGGAATTATTTGCTGTTGATCTTAAGTGGTTTAGCAGAGGTAGAAAGAGTTAAGTAAGCAAACTCGCACTCCTTGTCATAAATCCACATTTAATCTTTTGGTTGTTCAAGAAAGGGTGTTGCTACATAGCCCTGGCTGGTGTAGAACTCCCAGAGATCCCTCTACTTCTGCTTCTGTGGTGCTAGGACTGAAGGTGTGGTCACCGAGCCCAGCCACGTGTAACTTTGGACTCTCCTCCGAAACCTAACCATGACTAGAATAGTTGACCAGTTAGGACACGTTCTATATGTGCTATGTTTGATGAAAATGAACGAGAGCCACCTGTGGCTCTTTCTGCTCTGACTGACATTACAGGATTGAAGGGCTGGGTTGAAGAGATGCCTGCATGCCAGCAGTGCGAAGTGGCCGTTCTTAGCACTGAAACTCACTGTTTTAGAGACCGGGCGCAGCTCTGAGATTCTTGTCCTCACTCTGTGCGCTCCTACAGACACTGAGAAATGGTTTATTGTTAATTCCTTATTACTTCCTGTCCCCAGCACATGCATAAGGTCTGTTCCAGTTGCACAGAAACAGGAGGCATCTGTGACGTCCCTCCAGCAGCAGAATGTGGAATACAGTTTTGTGCAATTGTGACTTAATATCTCAGCTTTGTTTTGTTTTCTTTGATTGAGTATGGTACCAGGTGTGATTCGTCTATGTGCAAAAGTTTGATGGGCTTTCAACATTTAAGTCATATACGTATTGTGGTAACTTGGAACACTATTATCTACATATAGTTTATATATTCATAAGCTATCTAAATTTTTAATGTTTTCAACATCTGGACTAACTTGTTTTTCTTCCTTTTTTTTTTTTTTTTAATTTTTGGAGACAGGGTTTCTCCGTGCAGCCTTGGCTGTCCTGGACTTGCTTTGTAGAGCAGGCTGGCCTTGAACTCACAGAGGTCTGGGACGACAGGCGTGCGCCACTGTGCTTGGCCTTCCAGGGTGTTTAAGGCGTCACAAGTTTATGCACATGTGTGTGCACACAGCACAGGGCCTGTATGGTTCAGACTTCTGTTCAAAGGCCAACCTTGCTATAAAAGCCTGTTTCATATGCTTATTCTTTATGTAAAAATACTGTTTTTATTGTTTGTTCTTTTTCTGTTTTAAAATTGATCATCCTTCAAGTTAGCTATCAAATAAAAAATGTTAGAGGTTATCTTTTAATAAAGGAAATTAAACCTGATCTTTGCCATTTAGGTTTTGTTTATCAGAAACCAGTTGTCCACAAGAAGATCACTTCCCTCCCAACCTTTGTGTGAAAGTGAATACAAAACCTTGCAGCCTTCCAGTAAGTTGTAAAAGCAATTTTGAATTACATTACCTATGTGACTATTACATACGTCATCTTAGAGGGTTTTAATTATCATTTTGGGGACTAAGGATGCCTGCTCAGTGGTAGAGTGCTTGCTTAGTATTGAAAAAACCTTGTGTTCAGCCCCACTACCACAGGAAGAAGACATATGTGTGTCTGTATGTTATTGTATGTGATTAGGTGAGACTTGCTGACTCTAGGTAGTAGTTTTGGTATGAACCATAGAGAGAAAATTATAGCTTTTTGAGGTGCCCGTGAGTGTTATGCTGTGTTTTAGGGAGATGTATGTCAGTCGTAGCTATATTGCTGTAAGTCTGTGAGCCTGAGGTAGAGCAGAGTGTGGGGTGCTGCTGTACCTTAGCTGGGGTGAGGTGAGAGCAGTGTTGGTTTCCCTCAGAATGCTCCTTGTGTACCTCCTTAAGCCATTGTGAACGCATTCTGATTCTTTATTTAAGAGAATTTGAATTTCTGTCACAGCTATTTTTCTCAGGCTTAAAATGAACCTGGTAGGTTGTTTAGAGAGATCATTGCGTAGATAACTCACAAGCGTTGTTTGCGTCCCTTCTTTTTAATGAAAACATTTCTTTCTAGCCTGTACTTTGTGAATTTTTTTTTTTAAGAAATGGAAACAATTGTGGAAATAGTAGAAATAATTTTTTTTTTTCCTTAGGGTTACCTTCCACCTACTAAAAATGGTGTGGAACCAAAGCGACCTAGCCGACCAATTAATATCACCTCACTTGTCCGATTGTCCACCACAGTACCAAATACCATTGTTGTTTCTTGGACTGCAGAAATCGGAAGAGTAAGTAAGCTTTAGTTTGTAGCTATTTTCCTGTCATAAAGAAGTGTTAACCACCATGGCTACCTGAGCTTATATGTGAATTATAGTATAAATGAGCAGAAAAGGACTTTCGTCTCACAGTGAGTCTTAAGCCTGTTCCTGTTGAATCATGTAGTCTCCATTGGTTTTTCAGTCAGTAATTTATCATGTGTCTTCCTATGTCATTATATATTCTTTTGCAGCATTTTAAATGGCTGTATCAACATGGTTATAAGAACATGCCACTGTTTAACCTATTTTCTGACATTGAATACCTAGTACTGTCCTGGCAGCTGTAGCTTTGTATACGTGAATGATGATATCCTTATAGTAAATTCTCAGTAGAATTTTTGAGCCAAAGAGCATGAGGAATTTTTAGCAATTTTGTATGCGTTGACAGATGGCTTTCACCAAAGATGTACAAATGTGTTCTCTGATTTATAGTGTTTATTTGTATGCCTGCAAACACTATTATCTTTTAAAAAATCTTTAGCATTAAGTAAATGTTAGCATTTAGTACCCCTTTTGTTCTTGAGAAGAGTGAACATATTTGGTGTTTTTAACTGTTTACATTTTAAATCTGCACCCATATCCATTTTTCTTTTGTTCTTTTCTTACTAGGTTAAATATGTTGAGAATTCACCCTTTGTTACATCCTGTAAATATTTGTCTCTAGTTTGCTAGCTTTTTATTTATGTGATTATTTATATGTAGGTATAAATTTTCATAGTACCAAATATTAACCAGGTGGTTTTTTTTTTTGCTTTGTAGTCTTTCCCCTTCCCATAATGTTCAGTCTATCCATGCTTCCCAAGCTGATGTTATAAGCTAGACTACTAGACTATGAAGTTCTTTTTGTTTTATTTTTAAATATTTAATCCATATGTTGTATAAGAATATTATTTTCACTTGTTAGTCAACCCAGCTCTGATACCACTAAGTAAATGGTAATTCTGAAGCCACCCTTGTTATGTACATAATTGTTAATATTCTGCTCCAGTTTCTGAACTTTTTCTATACTGTTTCTTATTGTAACATTTGTTTTCTAGGATAATCTTTTAAATTGTTTAAAAATGATTGTAGCTTTTTAATGTTAACCCTACTGTCCATGGGTTAAAAGACATTGACTGTGTTATACCCTGCATAATACACTGTAGAGAGGACAAATCCTCGTCTCCTGGGGCCTTCGTGTGTACGCACAAAGGAATGTCCATCTGTTTCCGTGCTGTAACGTGGGACCGGCTGGTGATCTTAGGGTAGTCAAGTACTTGAAAGGGGAGTTGGGTCAGGGAAGGGCTTCGCTCGGAGGGAGATAGGGAGCAGTGCAGAGGAGACAAAGCAGTGTGGTGCAGAGATGAGCCTCGTCTTTCCCAAGCATCTGAAAGTCCTACACTGTGACTGAAGTGCAAGGTGGAAATAGCTTCAGGGACCTTTCAGGGCTTTGTAGGAAACGTCAGAGGTAAGCAGAAAGCTTACATGTTTCCATTAGAGCTAAGTCACTAGTTAGAGTGGTTCAGTAGTTGTGGTAGATGCCAAAAATTATACAGCAGTCACCTCTTAGGAGCCAGCTATTACAGAAGTGTTCATGGGGGCCTTAGCCTAGAGTGACTGAGGAACACCCAGTGTCAATGTCTTCCCTTTACATGCACACACAAATGAACTTAGGGACACAAAATAACTGTTTGAATGGAGAGCACGCTGGTGGCATTAGCAAGAAGTGTTCAGTTGTGATAGGCTGGAGGTAAGCTGTAGGCATAGTGAATTATAAGTCTGTCACTCAGGGGAGAAGATGAGTCGGAGGGACTGTGAGATTGAAAGTTCCTTGTCTTAAAGAAAGAATTTTTAATGTGTCTGGATGGTGGCAGGATCATTCAGAGGAAAGAGGAATAATCAGCAGTGAATTGCATCCTTTAAGGTAGCTCAAGATAGCTAGGAAGGACAGCTTCTTTAATAGGATGATAAAACAACTAGAGGGACTGGAGAGGTAAGTTCTGTCTGGGTGATTTCTCCAGTCTGTGAGGTAGGAAATACGAGTTAAGCTCAGAGAGAAGTTACAGAGAAGGACTTGGTAAAGTTATTAGCATGAAGCACAGTGAACCTTCATATTTCTTTTGCCACATGCACTGTAGAATTTCTTAACCACACACATTCTCACTCTACCTCTAGGTCTTTCTCAGACTCAGTAAGATTTCTTTAGTGTCACAGATGAATAGGGAGACAGGGAGGATTTTAATAGTAATCGGTAGTGTTATAGGTGTCAGGAACTACATTTCTCTGTTTGCTCAGAATCCCCTTGCTGTTCCTCAGTAACTGAATAGGTTTAATAGCTGTCTTTGTAAGTCCTGCATCCTTTTTAATTCCTGTGTTTTTCATTATTAGGATTTCTAGTGCATCTTTCGCTCTGTTACATTTCTAGGGTTATCTATTTTTGCCTTATTTGGAAGCTTCTTGTTTGTGCATATTCTTGTTTCCTACTTTAGTCCATATATTGGCTTTAGTTGACTTCTTAGTCTTTCCAAGAAGGTAGAATTTAGTTTGAAATTGCCATTTGTTTGTTAATGCATAACATAAGCCTCATTTATTTCTTCTACTAGCTGGAACTTCTTAAACATAACATAGGTGCTAGTGAACATCCTTGATTATTTCTGGTTAAGAATACTCCTGCCGTTACGATGTTCAGTATTAGAATGGCCTGTGAGCATGCATACATGCTTGCATGTGTTGTGAATTATGCACCAACAGAAGCCAGAGACTGCATCAACATCCTCTTCTGTCGCTCTTTGATGTGCCTCTGAGACCAGGTAGTCTGACCTAGCCTAGAAGCCAGCAAGCCCCCAGCACTTCTTCTGTCTCCACCACTAGTTACAAACCTTTGTTAACAAAACTCTGTTCTTCAAATGCTCGTAACGTCTGAGTCCCACTATGAGGGTTCTGGGTTTGCTTGCTTGGCTGTTTTGTTTTTAGGAAGGAACTCACTATGTAGTTTTAGCTGGCCTGCAATTCATGTAAGCCAGGCTGCTTGGAACTCACAGAGATCCACCTGCTTCTGCTTCCTGGGTGCTGGGATTAAAAGTTTGTGCCATCCAGGCGGATATTTGTGAGTTTGAAACCAGCCTAGTCTACTTGCTTTGCTAGTCTACAAAGCAAGTCCAGGACAGCCAAAGCTACAAAGAGAAACCCTGTCTCAACCCTTCACCCCACAAAAAAAAGTACGTGCCATCATGCCCAGCCCCACTATTAGTTTAGAACTTAATTCCATTAATGGTGTATTTATAATATTTCTTTTACAAAAATACTTTACTAGAAATGGACTTTGAGAGCTAGGAATGTAATTCAGTTCATAAATTCCTTCCCATGCATGGGAAGGAAATGAAATTATTTTTGTAAATCTCAGATGATAATTACTACATTAGTTTAAATTTTTTTTAACAAGTTTTATTGAGGTTATGAGGCTCCTCTGAAGAGTTTGTGTGAAATGTCTCACTCTGTTATAGATAGATAATACATAGCCTGTCCTGGGGAAGCAGGGCTGTAGTTCACGCTACTCAGGGGGTGAGACAAGAGAATTTTAAAATTAAAACCTGCCTGATTAGTTCTAGGTTAGCCTGTGTAACTAAGTGAGACTCTGTCTCAAAGTAAAAAAGTAAAAACAAGGCTGTGATTATCTTAGTAGAAGGATTGCCTAATTTACAGGAAGCCCTTTTGAAACCCTAGTCCAAAGAGAAGGGAAGTCAGAGAAGAGGAGGCAAAAAGGACGAAGAAGTTTGTCTTTCAGAGAAAATAAGTAGACGCCACCAGTTCCTGAAGGAGAGAAGCGTATTGTAACTTCTTGTTCTACTCTGGCATTCTGTATTATTTAACACTTATTAAACTTTCACTGTGAGTGGAGGAACCATTTGGACACTACTGAAAAGGGGGACAGAAGGGCTAGATGTTGTTTTGATTGTGAAGAAAGTATCTTATGAGCCCAAACAATTTTACAAACTTTGGGGGAAATTACAGACAAAATTAACAGCGTGAGATGATATATAAAAGGTTGGGCCTATAGACTAGGATCAGAAGGAAGGGGAGGAGGACCTCCCTTATCAGTGGACTAGGGGAGGGGCACAGGTGGGGAAGAAAGGGTAGGGTTGGAAGGGGAGGAGAAAGGGAGATACAGGGGGGGATACAAAGTGAATAAACTGCAATTAATTAAAAAAAAAAAGGTTGGGCCTAGATAGTGCCTTGAGGGTCCGTAGCCACTGTTGTTTTGGAGGATCTTTGTGTGCAGTGGCTCCTTGTGACACAACAGTACAAGTGGAATTTCATTCCTAGCATTCTTGCAGCTTTTGTTTTCTTCTCTGGTTCCTTGTTTCAACTAGAGCACACATACCTTTTTTTTTTTTAATTTTCATTCACTCTATCTATCTATCTATCTATCTATCTATCTATCTATCTATCTATCTATCATCTATCTATATTGCTTAGTTTCATCACAAATATTAATAGGAACCCTGGGGTAGTTCCAGGTTTGAAGGTTGAAGCTGTAGGTCCAGATCTCAGTGTTGATTAGCCTCTTCTCAGTTTCTGTGTGTGAACAGGGTTTGGAGCCCCCGTGAAGGACACTTACTACTTCTGTATTAGATTAGTTAGTGTGTCCTTTAAAATGTAGGGACATTGAAAACTTACTTGTTCCTTATTAAAACACTGAAATGTACTGATGAAAGTAAACTTGTTTGCTACTTCAGTTTTTTTTCCCCCCCAGAAAATATGCAGCATACATATGAGAACACAGGTTTCTGAACTTCAGAAAATGTAACCTTTGGGGGTTTCTGTGGGGGATATGCCCTTTTATTGCTAAGAGGCAGATATGTACTTAAAATATAAAACTAATGCTGGGAAAAGAGCTCAGTGGCAGTCCTTCTTACCATGTGAGCTCCTTCAGTTTCTAACACTGCTGGATGCATGGATGGGTGGATGGATGCATGGATGGATGGGTGGGTGGGTGGATGGATGGATTGGAATGGTCATGGGGCTAGGCCTGAAGGTTCAAATAAACTCTGTTGTATAGAAGGAAAATTAGTGGAACTTCATGGTTCTTGTTCATTCGGTACTGCCTCTTGGTATCCTTGGCCTTTCTTCTTGGTTTTTACTGCCTAAGCCATCCAAGCAGTCACATGATCATAAGCATATTGTATAATCTGTGCCTCAGTTTCATTAGCCCTTCAAAATAGAGTAGTACCTGTTTCCCCCTCTATAGGCCATAGGCAAAGGTGAAATGAAGTCTGTAGGAGATATCAAGAGTGCGTTGAAAACTGTTGCTATAAGGAAGACTTCGTTTTCTCACTTCTTTTCAAGTGTCTTGATCTGCTTAATCCCAGCACCACACAGAAAAAGATCCTTCTCATTCAAACCTTTCCCTTTCCTTTCCCCTTGGCCCTTTTTTCTTGCTCTTTCTCAGGCATGCACCCTTTACTCCGCTTGCCTTGCTCATTGTTTCTCTCACTCCCTTCTCAGCTAGCCCTGCAGGCATTGGGTGTCCTGCTTGTCTTCAAGCCAGAGCTTCTCCATGCAGCTTTCTTACTGTTCACTGCTTGATGTAAGCTCAGGTCAAGTGTCTTCAGGATCTGGCGGCACTAAATATGTAAACTAGAAACCCATCTCAGTGGTAGTATTTAGAAGCTGGTATTTTTTAGAGTGTGGGTTGCCTGCTAAGTACAGTTTATGATACCTTTAACATCTTAACAGCCTTTGTTTATATTTAGCCTTATTAGTGTCCTTTCATGTAAAGAACTGTAAATCTATTAACTTCAAGCACTCAGTGCCGTAGAGCGTAGCAGCCCTGTATTGAAGTTCTCAGCTTGACACTTGAGTGCTGTGTTAGGCTAGTCTCTTTACTTCTCTACACACACACACAGACACACACACACACACACACACACACACACACACACACACACACACA